ATTATATATTTGCATTATTTTAACTGGCACATGTTTGGCTCACACTCGGAACTCAGCGTTTTCTGGTAGCGGTAGAGACCAATAAGATACGATGTACGTAGCGACAACTGTGACTGCGTTAATATATGTGATCTAGTACCTTATGTATTCAAAGCGAAAAGAAAAAAATACTGACAACTTTTTAAACCAATTCTTCTATCGTAATCCTCATGTTTAGTCAAACTGCTCAGCTAGAGCTATGTATTTTTAACATAAAAACGAGTCCCAAATTGTCGGGGAATTATATAAGGCTGTTGAATTGATTTCAGTTTAAAACGCAGACACTTAGAATAAGTTGTATGTCTTCCTTACATCCACAATCACTAAACCAATCCAAACGACACAGCATTCATTTGGAAGAATACGCTATGTAACGAAACTAAGTAATTACATGTACAATTTGTTTAAGCACTTAACTTTCTGAAAACCGCTGCTTTTCGTTGAGGCAAGAATTTTAATGAAGTGTCCATCGAGCGAAAACCAATTGTTGGATTACGTTAAGATTGTAATATATATCAGTATTATAATACATCTATTTTACTGTAAGAGTATAACATTATTACCATAACTTAATTTTTCATCGAAATCTGCCACCTTCAAAGCAATATGTTTTAGAGAAATTCGTGTGAACTTTGAAAAGGCAACCTTTAAACAAATTTTGTTTTGTGGTTGACTACATACATCACGCTGATAATTATTATAGTAAAAGACATACCGCAGTCTGTTGGATTCTACCAAAGAATGCCTCAGGTCCCTACCGATTACATTGTTTCAAATGGTGACTGACTCTTATCAACTGATATTGTGCGCTTTATTGAATGTACTATCGATCGTTTTGCTATGAATTGCATATAAATGAGTATGTAGTCCGTAGTACAACTATTTGGACTACAGTTAATTGTAGCTGGCACTTGGTCTTGTTTAGATGTTCGGTTTTAATCCGCGAACAGAATTATTGCACATTTGTGGTGGATACTATCAAGGTCAGTAGAAAATATGTTGCCCCAACCCTTTGTATTTTAGCGTTGTCGCACATTTCTGGCCTTGAATTCTGATTAGATCCGGGAGTCTAACGCGTAACTTGCATCCACCGCCGATTCGACGGTAACAATTATGCTTACCGCATGTGACGCCAAACTTTAATGCGACGCTGTGATACGAAATTTAATTGAATAAAATGACAATTAATTTATGCGAAAGTAGGATATAAAAGGACAAGCTTGAGCCAGATGGGCCTAACGTCTATCACAAAGATAGATATCATGGTACAAAAACGGAAAAGCGATGAAATACACTGTGCACAACCTACCGGGCAGAATATGCTGATGTATATATATTATACTTAAATAAATGGAACATACATGTAGGTTTATCGCGTATACTGATGTGTACCAAATGTATATGCTAATGTACAAAAAATATTTACTTTTCTCGACGAATACTGCCTCAAGTTTTGGCTACGAATATTCAACGATATGTTATCAACCCTACGAAGAAAATCCGTAGACCTGCAAAACGATAGCCGACCTGCATTCAAGAGCAAATATTAATGAAGAAAACAGAGCTAAGCCATTGCTAGTCCACTTGCGTATCCGCAAAGCAAGACATGGTTAAACTCGCCGCAAATTCAACGGTGTTAAATAAGGAGTTGAAAATAAAAATCCTGGATGTATTTTGTATAATGTGGTAAATTGCTCACGGAACTCAGTGGTCTAGTAATCCGTTGGATGGCCGATAATCCGCATGTGCGAAGCTACACTCCTAGTTCAGGCTGTCTGTTGATCCCAAACAAGTAAGAAAAGCTTCTTGAGGTCTAGTGATGGAGGAGTGTAACATCGAAATCCACCACTTCAGTTGAATACCGCCCTAGTAAAAGAAGTGGCAAAGGCTGACTTTGAATTCAACCTAAGCCACAACTGAGATTGCGTATCAAATTTCAAGACACATGGCAGAATCTCTTAAGCACATATATTAAATTCTAACCTCCATGTCAAGCTGTGCTCGCCTATCAAAATTGTCTAGTGATCGGGACGATAGTATCCAACCACTATGTTCCGGTTTATACTCACATTTCTGGTTTTCTCTACTGGTACTAACGAATCAGGGCGAAATAGTTTCGTCGTGCGCAGGATAGGAATAGTCCAACACTGGAACTATCCATTTTGGATAGTTTTCAGTGATAGTTATGGCACATGCTGACTTCAAGATCAGAAGAGGCCACAAGTGAGATTGAGTGCCGCAATCCGAGAGACACTAGGGTGTTACAAACCAAATATTTAGTTATAATAATTAAAACTTAGTTACCAGTTTGTTAATTAACAAATTATATGAGGTTATTCCTTACTGAGACAGGTCTATCAAATATTTTATAGTATATATTGAATTACTGGTAACTGCTAACTTGTATTTTACACTCATTTAATTGGTAAATATCAAATTACGAGCAAACCTGACTTGTTGCGGTTTATCCTTATTTAACACAAGTCCTCTCAAAACTTTCGGCTTTTGTTTACTTTTTAATTAGTTGTCCTACTATATGTCCATTAGTTTTAATCAAGTGCTTTGTTTCGCATACTGCAATAGTTAATCTTTTTCTACCTCATGCTTTTAACTCATGCAGTATGTGTGTCATCGAGCCCAAGAAATGATGTTAAACCACATTAATTCATGCCTCTGCTATCTTTATTATGGTCCCTATTTTCCATAAAATGTTGCTCCAAGTGCATACTGAGTCAATTGGCATGACGGAACAATAGTGTCAAAAGCGAATATTTAGCCAAAAAACGCCGCTCAATTGTTCTCGAACAACTATGAACGTATCGTGGAGAAGATTTTACTTAAATTCACTCAACGCTTTTTCTTAGAGTATGTAAATGTGGTGGCGATAGTGAATTTTATATGGATATTTGCCGTTGGAGCTTCTGTATACGTGCATTATGCTGATTATATTAATTTGCCGAAACAGACCCAACCACAGTTTATTGAAAATAAACATAAACTAAAGTATTAATTCACCTTTAACAACAATTCCCCTACTTTTGTTTAGACATAGTTTATATGTATTTACTTAACCCAAAAATGAGTAATGCACAAATTAATTAGCTTCCAAAACAATGTGCATTTAGTACTAAGTTTTCCTAAAACAAATTTACTATTTCTACGCCTTGCAGAAGTTGATGAATTGCACTCAAATACCCGTTTAGATATGGGATTTAAGGCCAATCACTGGAACAATATTCTTACATTGACAACTCTTTCTATATTTTAGAAAGGTCTGAGGAATTGGCAAATGTTCAACATGCCGTTCGCAGCTGCTTTGTGCACGACATCCTACAAGAGCTCACTCGGTCGAGACTTGTCTTAACAACAGTGGTGAGCCATGCACGGATGTCATAAAGTACAGCACCTTGAAGTTCGGTTCAACTGATTTAAATGTGGGAACGACGAATTGTCAACCCCCAGAGATCAAGAACGAAAGCTAGTTGGCAGTGACATCAACACACAGGATGCACTAAAGACGGTTCCTAGACAGTGTGCGTAGAGTTTCGCAAACCTAGGTCTTTCAGAATCCACCGTTCTTCGCCATTTATGCATATTCGGAATGGTCCCAATTTTCAAATAACTGGTACCACACAAATTAACTGGTGAACAGCATTTAAACCCTTGTTTAATCTTAATTACGTTGCTTATCTGAAGAAGCAATAATCTAAGGCTGAACGATGTCGTACTTAGTCACGATAATTGGATGTCCTCCACCAAACATAACAAGGAGCGTCGATGGTTGGCAGCTGATAAAACGAGGGTACACATATCGAAATACGAATCTCACGGCAAATGGATAAGTCTGTTGATTTAGGTGGATTGCCTTAGCGTCATCTACTGGGAACTGCTATCTGACACGTTTATTACTGATGTTTACTGCTAACTTCCGAAAAAATGCGTCCAAGTGCTATCCGAAACGTGATTCTATATTACATCGTACTTCCCCAGGTAAACAAGTGGGTACGTACCAAATATTGAAACTCATGCATCTAGCATATAATCCAGAGCTTGCTTCCATGAATACCACCTTTACATCTCGCTGCATAATCACATTGGATGAATAGTTTGTATGAATGCAAATATATCGAAACGTACATTGTCCAAATTTAAACAGCCAGCTCAGCTGTCTGTTGAGAGATATATCGACTGCTTGCCTGAGCGATAGCAGTAGACCATCGAGAACAATTGGTGTCACATTACTTAAATCTTGTAATTTATTTAAAATAAACATTGATATAAATAGTTTGCCAAAACGCCACTTGATTTCGGGGGTACCTATCATTAAATTGCTGGTGAAGTGAACCTGCTTTATAGTTAAGCATGAACAGCTTATTTCTTTTATTTTTAGATTCAATACTCATAACTTCTTATTGCATCAAAACAGGTTGCGTTTGCGGCAGTCCGCAAGAGATGTTTTATCATCCCGAAAGCAAATAGCAAAATGGCGCCGTTCCATATTTAGTCACCGCGGACGCTCACAATGCACATGCCAATTGATGGCATTTTGCGCGGTCCTGTTTAACGCTACTCCATCAACATTCAAGGACTAAAATGGACGCAGCTGCTATAAAAATGACCCTACATTTATGGTAACATGACACCTCCAGTTCAATCATCTGATGAAAGCCAAGAGAAAGTTATGTTCACTGTATTTCTTTCGCGATCAGTTGCAATTTTGAACTCGACGGACCCTTGAGTAAACCAGGAGTGTCAGTCAAATATGGTTTGCCTACTTTGAATACGTTTGCTTTTTCTATCACATATGCACACGCGCGTAAAGGCGCTCATTTAGGACACGAGTATGCCGCAGATCACTTCACACTGACAATGATTGGCTACTGGATGCTCCAATAGAATCACCTTATATTCTATGGACCAATGCAAAAGAGATTTACAAGGCCAGCAACAAGTTAAGCTTTAACTACGTAGTCAAGTGAACTAATTAATAAGGCTAACTAAATCACATCAGCCCGATACCACAGCACCTTGGAATTTACCGATAACAACAGCTGAACAAATACATGAATTTTGCTGAAGATTGGAAAAGACACTTAGCAGAATTGGAATTTACGAGATAGCTTGTGGCGCATCTTTTTGAAGTACGAGGATGCGTGTTGGTAAGCAAACTAATACTTTATACTGGCTTACAAAATTTGATGCATTAATTTTGTGTTAGTACTTTATGCAATGTTAACAAATTTGCTATGGTCCGTTTGGTCAAATTTCGGCCAGATCTACGTATATTATTGTGCAACAGCTGCCACTAGCTTCAAGAGTTTTTGTTTTCCCATTGGCTGTGTAGATGAAGCAAAATTTATCTATTACGGCGAATCATTTCTTAAGAACAGACTAAGAGCAATTAAGCAATTGATTAAAACTGACATTTAATGGCATATTAAATGCTTTAAACATATAAAATTTAATCTTGGCCGATGTAAAATGATGAAATTCTGACAGCTTATATGACCCTCAACGTAGAATCCGTTTGTGATATCAATAATCTTTCAAATTTTGGCCTAAATAATACGTGATGTTACCCCTTTGATTGATAATGTTTTCTGCTTTTAGAACAGTAAAAGTATTATCTTATAAACCTCTGTTTCCTAGTTACTGCAGGTAGGTGTTCATTCCTAATCCTCTACAAAGCTGATTAATTTAGACGCAAGTGTTCATTAGTTCGCTTAATGCAACCTTCGGTGTTACTCTCTTGAAATCCCTTAGATCCATGTGCTGCCATGCTACCCTGCGCATATGCGCTTCGTCTTATTTATAACACCCAAACTTTTCTTATCAAGTTTCAGTTGGACAACGAAACTATGCTCATTCCTCATTATACCGTAGTTGTGTTTCACAATTTTCCTCATAGTTAAACATTTCTGGTTTTTATTTGTTCCCTAAACTGAGGAATGGTGCTGCAGACGTTTCGTCACTAGCCGAAGCGACATCCTCAATTCCTCACTGATTGGGACAAAACTGAAATTCTCGCGCAAGGAGAAACGAGAAAAAGCAGAGAAGTGCTTGAAGCGTGGTTTACAACAGAACACTTCATAAACCTGTGCATAAACCTAGACCCGGTGTACCAACCATTGAGGAAAAAAATTGGACGTGTCAGGGATTCTAACCTTATGCAGGAAGCAGCGGCGGCCGAACACCAAAACAACTAAGCTCACCTAATATGAAGCGAAGAGACCAATTTCAAACGGCACTTGCCCACGGCGCACTGAACGAGGTGTACGCTAAGCAGTGAGGCAATAAATATGTCACTACGGCTGGTGACAAAACGTCTGCAGCACAATACCTTAGGTTGGAGAACAACAGAAAACCAGAGCTGTTAATCCGAGCTACAAGTATTCCGATTTCAGATTAATTTCTTTGATGCAATTTATACAAAGTAAAATCCTTTTTGTGCGAATGTTTGGTTTTTTCAAACTTGCGTATAATTACAATAAAATTCATTAGCGTCTGATTTGTAGTATGGCGTTTTATCGTTCTAAAGTATGGCACTGATTTACTGGTTAGCTGTCTGAGATTAAATATATTATGAAACATTGGACCTTGAAATGTTTAGTTTGTGTGTTGAACACACTTGAGAGATTTAACTGGTTTTCTTTTTGCTATTATTTAAAATTTACGAAATGCATACTTGGTTTGTTTTGAAAGGTAAAATAAAACTGTTGGCAAAAAGAAAACACAGTGTGTCCAACAACGCGATTCTCACTACAAAGCACTGCAGGTATTCACCCTAGATACTTTTAACTCTACACCTAATTATCCAAGAATTAGTGCGTTATCCATTTTCGTTTGTCAATGTCGCTAACAAGTAGAATCAGTGTGTCGATGATTTCTTTAAGAATCGCAACAGTTACTAGGTTAAACACCTGTCCAAGCTTGATAACTTATGGAAAGTGGATCATATAGGGTGGGTGACGTTGCACTCGCACAAATCTAATTCATCTATAATGCACAAGGTTATTTTGCAGATGAAACAGGACAAACTTTTAACACGCGCAAAAGGTAACCAATATACTGTTCAAGAATTAGCACTGTTATTCGATTTACGTGTTGGTTATAAGGTGCAAACATTTCTATATATTTACGCGCATGCATCTTTATAAACTTAAATTGACATAGTTTAGTTTCTTTGTTCTTTTTGATGACGGTTTGGACGTAGTTCTCTTTGGCAGACAACATCTGTGATGGCTTATGTACAAGTTACCTTGCTTGCATGAGCATTAAAAACCTAAGCGATTCAAATGAAATTGTATCGAATCAGTTAGATGTATAAATACCGCGGAAACAGTAGCGAGGTTAGATATTTTTTAACAGCTGTCATGATTGTCAAAACGTGACTGGTTTTGGGAATGTTTAGGAATGCGTACAATCGTACGACAACTGTCAGTGTCAAGCTTGCCAAAAGCATTGCTCAGAAAAAGTTAAATCTTGAACAAAATACTACATAATTGTCACACATAGGAAATCATATAAGAGGAACAACTTTCATGTTTACTGCTGTCAAGCAGTATATGTCAAGGCAGATTACATTTTCTTTGGCATTATCCACACTTATCATATCATATCTTATCAGCATACTATATTTAAATTGCTTTATATGTATATTCCAGTAAATTATAATCTTTAGTGTTCGTTGTGGAAATATTCGCAACATAGGGAAGTTTTGTTATCAAATCCTGCAGTGTGAAAACCTTACCGCTATGATTGCATTGTATCACAGCATCAAAATAAAAGAAGAAGAAGAAGTATAAGAATAATGTAAATAATAAGAGTAAACAAGGACCATTTCTCTTGAACATTTTGTCAAACCTTGAACTGTTGGAACTGCGTTTACTAATTAAATAGTGTTGATCAAGTGATGATTTGGTCAGTTCCATTTCAAAGCATACAAATAACACAGTCAATTTCTACCAGCTGAGGTCACCCGAAATTATTTACGTTTTCTAGCGGCTTCGATCAGGTGTTGATTTTAACATATTAATACGAGCTAAATATTTATTAGTCTACTCTTTATTATTAGACCAATGATGTCCGCAAGTCTTTATCACAAAAAAACATACAATAGCAGAACATTCGAACAAATATGAGTATATTATTCGTTTCCTGGTAGATATCTTCATAAGAGTATTTGCGTTTGGAGAAAAAATTGGATATCAATGTTGTTATCTATATAAAAAAGGCCACATATTATTGAAAATCGTTAAGTTATTAACCTGTGCTTGTTTTTGATTTAGATTCAATCGTGTTTCTGCTTAACTAGAAAAAATATTCTGACAAATAATGCATTTGAAGAAATTGTACCGTGTCTTAGCAGTACGCGAAAGGGCTTAGACTCAACTTCTAAGGAAGCTCTACTAATCATGATTGCGATAGCACAGCCTTACATGTGCCAGCAAAGGGTGTTTCTGCAAATGCTCACTTACGTCTCTCTGTAACAGTCCTTCCGTTAGACTTAACATCAGTGTTTTCACTTCCATACTTTACCCAAAGGTGTTGTAAGTCCATTGGCTCAATTGGTTAGGGTATACACAAGTTATTATCTAGCGAAGATACAGGCCATGCAAATACTGTCGATCGAGTTACGTGATGATTGTGTTGGATAAACCAGTTCACACAAATTCAGTTGGTTTCACCTCAGCTCAAGTCAGCTTAGCAGTACAACAAACATAATTGTATGTTTAATTTGCTATGGGAAATGGTTTTAAAAGCTTTCATGGTAACCTCTGTTTCAAATATATCCATATGTGCTTGTTACGAATATCCACGAATTGAAAAATGTAAATTATTAAAAGAGATAGCCCATCGAATTATGCTAAAATAGCTGAATGATATATTATTTGAGAAATTAATTTCAATGTAAGAAACTACTGTCCGAACACTAGGCATTATAACACATTTGCGTGGAGCTTTTATCATAAAATCTTATGTATGTCGACCAACTTGTAAATCCCCTAATTCCTGCTTTATTAAGTTCTATCGACATAAGTGTAAGTTATTAAGGGCACATTATTAATTTATATCAAATAAACTTGCAAATCTAGGTCAAAAATAACGTGGTGCTTACCGCTTAATATATTACATTATTTCGAAGGTAGGCTTTGAGATTAATTTTGCATTGTGGTACGTGATTATTATACTACAGAAGTCAAAACAACAACTAGAGAGACTTTTACATTCCACTTGTCGTTATTCCTTAAGTGGTAGCAACTTTGTGAAAAATTACCGTTTATCAATCATTGAGCAATTGTTGTATCATAAGCGGCTTCGGTATTTGTCTTGTGTAGATTTAGTTTTAACTTTTTCTGTCAATAGGGTAATAATATATTTGTGCTTTATTATATTAGCCAATTACTTAGATTTAGAATACAGATGCGATGTTATCATTGCAAAAGTTTGGACGCCAAACCTACGTGTTAAATAATAAACCTTCTTATGTGCGTCATATAACATAATGCAGGTTAACTATAAAATAACCTGACGCAAAGTAAGTGAATTTTGCAAGCGGTCTATTAGTAACGCATTAATACTCCATATTAAGTGCACTGTTAATACTTCCGAATGTGCCTTGGTATTCCACACCAGAAAACAACACACTCAGGATAGATCTGCTTATCAGTATATCCGTTCTGTGAATCGTAAAATTGTGGAATGCAATAGAGCGATTTGTGCCTGCTAATTATAAACTGGTTTATATTCCCGGTTAAGTTTGTCATCCTTTTATTAGTGGCAAGCTGGTAAGCATCAGAGTTAGAAACATTGTGTTTTCTCAAGCTTCACTTAGATAAAAGCAAACACATCTTATAAAAATCATGCAAGAAACGCGAATGTTTATTCTTTATGATCAGTGAATAGACTAGGGTCAGATGATGGGTTAGGGCAAAATATGCGAACGTCTAAATGGCATAAAAATTTAATCCTTAAAGCCATATCAGCGGCAATTAAAACGGGTACAAAATAATCAGACCAGGTTCTTGTCCAAAGCAGCGCTTACGTTTTCTTGGAGAAGTTATGTATGTTAATACTAACAATGACCAATTAATTTATACAGGTTATGAAACAATGCTTTGTCTTGTTGGGTGGGTTTGCCGGGTCATAGGAAAAATGC